TTTAACCTGAACTATTCGAAATTTTCACTATTCGATTTTTAACCTGAACTATTCGAAATTTTCACTATTCGATTTTTAACCTGAACTATTCGAAAGATTTCATTGTTCGATTTTTAACATTAACTATTCGAAATTTTCCCTATTCGGTTTTTTGCCTGAAGTATTCGAAATTTTTCCTTAGCCGCAATTTAAAAATTGTCTGATGGTGGTCGCATAATATAGAGATTCTACCAATGATTCTCTAAACTGAACATAGCTGCATCTTACCTTGACGAACTTGTTATTTCTTAGATTCATTACGTCCATGCCCATCCCTTGTCGAGTTCCTTCACTTGTATTAAACGTAATAGATCCAGTTGTACCGATGATATTAGACTGGAAAATGGGAAGAATGCTTCATAAATACTTAAATATCTGTGTTACGTCCCAGGACAATAAAAGTTATTAAATGTTATAATAACTTTGCATTAGTATACACGTATTGTAGATATATACAGACATGAACAGAAATGGTGAGAACTGGCCTTGAGAACTGACGCGTACCGTATGTTTGCACGGTGTTACGGAGACGTAATCGTTGTCTAAAGTAGAAAGGAATTTTCTCGCAATGATTGCTGCAACTCGCAACATTTTTTCAAATTGTGCTGCAGTAGGTTACACGCTGCAATGCTCAATGGATGTTGTGGCGCAAAGTCGTTGCAAAACAAGTTGCAGAAAAAACTGCTCCGTGTAATCGCTCCTGAATTTTCTTGTTTCGTTTTTTGTTTTGTCAGCCTCCTCTCTTACTATACCCCAACTTCGCCAAAAACGAAATCATCAAATGGTTACCTTTTTCATCTCCTTCAAAATATTCATTCCATTTTGGGATTGCGCAACGTTTATAGAGCTGGTCTGCGAAACCCACTGTCCAGTTGCGATGATCTTGTTCAGCGCATGCGCGAAGGTCAGCACCGAATCATATAAAAGATAAGAATGATTCTAGAAAGAGAGAAAGGTATGAATCTCATCAATAACGTTCCTATAAGCTCAATCATTACTTTAAATTTCTGTTGAAAATTCTAAGTGAAACTGGAAGTGACGTCGCCGATGGATAGCAGCCAAACAAACAGGAAGCCCAATCAATGTACTTGTAAGGTATTACAAAGGAATGTATGTGGAATTGTAGATCGTATGAATATATATAGTTATTTCTGTAGCAAGCTTACCAATTTTTGCATGTGTGTTCTTGCTGCTGTTCGTTGTTTCTGTTCGCGATTTGGGCCAATCCTACGAGTTTTAGCTCTTTTACGAGCCTACGGGCCGTACATTGCTTGGGTTTCCTGTGCTTTAAGTTTGTTTTCTTGCAAACAATAGTATTATGTATAGATACTTGCCTTAATGTCATTCATTCCAGCTGCCAAGTCTGACATGAGTCGTTGTGAATGCACATTGGTAACTATGTGAGGAGTAAATCCAAWGACTACTTGACTTGACTCGGTCACCATGTTAAACGAGGGGAGCTAAGAAAAAGAGAGTTAAAATATTTTGAATACACAGCATTGCTGGTGACCAACATCTTTTCCAAATAAAAAATGGTTTCAACAAACAATATTAAAATATAATTATTTGATGAAGTTTAAAAGTAAATTTTAAACATTTTTTCTTAAAGCATAATCTGTAAAACCAAACCTTTTGCTGTTCTAAACGCGCAAAATTAGCTTAGACTGATCTGATAATCAGTGTTTTACAGATATAGTATCATAGTGTATATTCAATAGAAGGACGTTTCAATTTTGGGACAGTCTTTTGAATGGTTAAAGCAATGCATTATGGGCTATGGGAAAGTAGAGAAATTGTCAGTGCACTCAAACAAAGATTGGTTATCTCGTACGCAACCATTTCCAAGAGAGCAGAATGACAAAGTCATGGCGGCCATGTTAGTGGTATTAACAAAGGAAACTAATGAGAAATCTTCTGTTCAAAAACACTACCATCATAGTTGAACATGGTGCTGCCTTCATTATGATCTGGTTTTGGTACAAGCATGTTTGCACCTTGTTTATCGAGGTCTATCGCTGCGATGACGTAACGATTAATTATGAACTGAATAAAATCTGATATCAAAGGAAATTATTATTTTTTAATCACGTGACGTAATGTGCAACGTAAGGCGATGACGTACCATGTCAGCTAGAATCCAGTTGTGAGCACGTTCAATCACACGCGAACACGTACAGTGGACCTATAATAATTCAATATAGGGACAGTCACGTGATGACCAAATATGGGTACTAAAATAAATTGAATAATTAGCGCATGAAAAATCTTTGTATAGATTATGACCGATGGAAAGTGCGGACGCCAAAGAGAGATTACTAGCAAGTAGCCCAATCAATCTTGGTCCCAAATGCAGACATAGTTAACAAGGTACATGAAAAAAGGCAAGACCAGAAAATAGATGTTTTACAATAACATAGACTCAAATTTCTCACAAGCTGATTGGCGCCAATTTTTTTCATCAATAAGATGACAGACAAATAAGCTGACGTCAACGAGCTACGCCTCGTGGATCCACACTACTTTGACAATGATGACACAATTCATCGTCAATAAGAGGACAGACACATAAAAACTGATGTAATTTTGTTAAATTGATAATTAGTATTAGTTATACATTTGTTTATACAGGCTGTTTGACGTGACACGTCAACAAATTTAAGGGGCAATTTACGGTAATACCATAGTTTCTTATTTTTTACGAGGCAAGGACGTAGTCAGGGGGGCCAAGGGAGCCAGCCCCCCTTCGTGGCAACAAAGTGTAATGGAAGCTAGCAAGGTACTGTATTTACGACAAGCGCCTCTCAAAGACCAGCGTTACTGAGAAACCAGAAAATATCAACTAAGCTAAAATGACTAGGTTAGCTCACCTCTTCGATGACGACAGTAACAAACTCAGCATCACAGAAAAGAACGATAGCTTCAACTAGCTTGTTGTTCTGTTCTTTCAACTTCCTTTTCGTCTCTTCAAGTAGTGTCCCTTTCTGGTCAAGAATCAGTTCAACAGCTTCTCGAGTTACACTGGGTGACAAGATGGACAGGAATTGGGACGCTTGGTCACGCCAGCGAACTAGAGGAATWAAAAAATGTCAAGCGTTTTGGTGGGACCAATTAACATAACGTCATCCCCTTTTTCTGGTTAAAATAAAAAGTAAAATCAGTTTCCCGAGTGCTTGACTGTATCTTGAGAAAGATCTATAACATAGGTTACATGTGCATGTACAAGAAATACTGTAGATATTTTAAAGACGACAGATACGATTTAATTGCATACGCAGTAGAAAATTATTTAAATAGTTTTTCTCTCTCAGAAACCGTTTAACTCAGTCTCCTAGTCTTTGTATCTTCTTCCACTCACGACTCACCCCTCCTCCACCATTCCTCTATCATGTCTTCAAATTTAAGAGTTTACTTACCATCAAACAAAACCAAGACAGATGTCCACTGGTATTGCTTCATGACGTCATGTATGGCCTGGTTGACGTCAGGTTTCCTCGCAGCCAATGATATCACGTTAGACTTAATATCTGTTCTTCGTCTCGGATGCGTGGTTACCAAGGGAATTTCGAGCATGGCGCTCAAGAGCTCATGGGAAGGAGACGGGTATCCATCCAGAAACAAAGCCAGATTGTTTTCAGTGGTAAGATTTGCAGCTAAAATTAAATAAAAAAGAATATTTCAGTAAACAATCTGCACGTGAATTGAGTTTGTTTGATGTGTTGTTTTCTCCTTTGCTACGAGGGTTTTCTCCAGGTTCTCCGGTTTCCTCCCTTAAAAATCAACATGTGAGTTGAGCGTTTTGTGCATAGAATATTAAATGTAGTGGTAGTGTGTGATTTATTTATTCTATTTATTTGATGAATATTCTGCACAAATGCGACGCTATCCCTGAGCAACAGAGAACTCGAACTGGAGTATTATATATATGTTCTATTTCGCCAGAGTTAATATATATATTAACTCTGTATTTTGCATGGTCGTATATTATTGGTGACTGTCTAGCTACGACTACTTTGTCCATTCTCTGTCCGAGATAATAACATCCAGTCTCCCTTACTTAACATGCAGTCTACCAGGCCTACTGATGGGGACCTCGCTCCTGGCGAGTAATGTACGCAATATCGACATGGTGGGATATTGTTTTTGTGAACCTGAATTAGTAAATATACGAAGCTAAACGTGTTTTAACGTCATACCTTACCTTTCACTACCATTTGTGCTAACGGTAGTGTATTTATAAAGTTCTTAGGGTGCTTGGGTGCTTGGATATTTATTATCGATTTCATTTACGTTTAATCAAACATTTGATGTTGTTGTTGATGACGATGATGTTGTTGTTGATGATGATGATGATGAAGAGATGATGATGGCGATGATGATCATGAACATTAGAATGACGATAGTGATGGTGGCGGTGGTGATATGGTGCAGGTATTGTTGGTGTTGTTGGTGATGATTATGATGATGATGATGATAATGATGCAGATGATGATGATGATAATGATCGATCGATTTTTTGATTATGATAACCAGTTTATGAACAACTCTCTGCACATACTACTCACCATACTCTAATACGTGATCGCTGGAGTAGTTCAAGCTTGATAATGATAATGTTGTGACTGGCAACACAGACGGGTCGCTGTTGACTTGACGTAAAGCCGACTTGATCGCCTCCAAGCTCTGACTGTCTTGTAGGACTGGAATAAAAGCTATGAAAAGAAAATACAAATTCTATAAGTTTATAAGGGCTACATCTAATATACATATGTAAATGACCACTCATTCAGTAGTTATAAGGCCCCGTCGATCGGCCCCGTCCACACGTATCCGGAAATTTGTGCATCCGCAAAATTTTTTTTGCGGTTAAGGGTTGCGTCCACACGTGTCCGGAAATTTTTGTATCCGTATCCGGAAATTTTCGAAAACGGTCTCCAGAGTGGAAATTTTCGAATACGCTCCGAATACGGATACGTGTGGACGGTCGTATCCGCAAATTTTCGAATACGCTGACATAAATAAGAAAAACTATCCGTGAAAGAAACTAAGCATCAGGGCGGATCAAGAAATTCCCGGATACGTGTGAACAGTGAAAACGATTCGAAAACGATTCGAATACGCTGCGTATGGACGCGAACATTTTCGTATCTGCGGATGCAATTATGTCCGGATACGTGTGGACGGGGCCTAAAGCATCAACCCGGTATCTGGAAAGTCATGAGTTCCATTCCTACCAGAGTCTCATTATACTGAGTTCCATTCTAGAGATAGAGACAAATGATAAATTATTTCTACAAAAAAACTTGGGGAAGGTCTTGTTGCATACCAAGCCTGAATTGCGCTAAGGGAGATGTGGATGCGACAAGCGAAAGGCCCGTGACAATAATATCGAATTTTCCCAAACTTTCAGTCTGCACATTTTCACAGCCAATTTCTTCTGTGCTCAATTATTTACGAATATAATAATTGAATTTCAAGTCCCGATAAACAGCATGTAACAAAACCTTCACCAGCTTGTATTGAAATGGCTGTATACATTTCGTCTTTGTTAGCGTTGGCAAAAAGATTTCAGAGTTTGTCAGCAATAATTATATACTTATATTATCTTCTTTAAACTATGCTATTTAAATAAAATGGAATTACTGTCAGAATAAATCTAAGATGATCATTGAAGGATTTTGATTTCTGACTTACCGATCTTTGCTGATGACGGCGGCGAAGCTGCGAAGCCTTCGTTTTGTAACAACAAAACACCAAAGAATAAGACAAAAACTTTCATAACCATATACCTTTGAATTAAATAAAACGGTTAAATAAGGCAAATAGATGAGACTGTGTGAAGGTGAAAATTGTAATTAAAGACAACTCATGCAAACTTTAGGTAAAATCTTTTAAGAACTAAATTTTTTAAAAATGACTTAAACATTCGCACTTGGCAACAAACGTAAAAAAAAACTACACTGACTAGCAAATTAAAGGTCGTCTTCCTTTTTGGATCGAGGAAAGTTTTCAGTCAAACTAGCTTAGTAAAACCTTAATCTTAAAATAAAAATTTTTAGGTCTAGAGAAATTAATCAATTTTATAAATTCACAGATAAAGTAAAAATAGTATGTTTAATATTTAATTCAAAAAATAAGATATGTGATATGATGTAAAATTATTGCTTAAAGCTGAGAAATGTTGTTTTGCGTACCTTGGAAGAGAGATGAATGGAGAATTAGCCATGGCCTTTAGTAAGACTTAAGATTTTTTGTGAATTGGATAAGAAACTACGACAACATTGTTAAGTTAATAAGGCATGTTTGGGTTGTTATGAACCTTGGACGATTAATAAGTTGTACCACGTGACTGTACCTCGGGTGAAATAGCGCAGCGCAGCCGTGACGTCATAAAAACGAAGACAAAGACGAAATTCGGACAAACAAACTTACAAGTTTACTTTCAGCCGATAATTTTCACAGCCGATCGCAGTTGATCTTAGTTTACATGGRTTATTATTGTAACTTTAAGTAAAAATAATAAAATCGGTTCGTTTAATCATCGTAGCGGTTAAGCAGAATGCAATGTTTGTCCGAATCTTTAAGCTATTTTTAGAATCAGCGCGCTTCTTTCTGACTTTAACGTTAATTCATTTGGTTTACTTGCAGTTTTGTTGCTTCGAGGACTTATTTCCTTCACTAGTAAATATGGTTGAAATAATTAACAACGAAAGTAAACTGGCTACTATAACACAGAAGACATAATTTGTTGATTGAACCCTTTGTCACTGAACAAAAATAAATACTTAATTTAAGAATTGAATTTCCATTTTTTGTTCTCAAATAGCAAAAATAATTCAAGAACTTTCAAAACTATAGACCCTAAACTTAATAACGTTTCATACCTAAACTACCCCACGTCCTTTTCAAAATATCTTTTCACATTCAAATGTTAAAACTCCTTTGAGAATACCAAGACAACAGTGAAAATTAGCATAACAAAAAAACCTACCGAAAGGGGTCCTGGAAGTGAAGGCATGAAACGTCATCGTGCTTGAGGTCTATTGGCCTTCGAGCAGCCGAGCACGAAACCTTGGTTATAAAACTACATAGCTTTTTAAACCTTTTCTATTAGTTAAGATAGYATAATATATACAACTGAATGTGTAATGTCTTTCAATTATTAATCAAAGCTATAAATATATAGAGATACAACCTTAAAGTATGGATCAGATAAACGAGGACATATGCAAACACTGACATGATGATTTCTTATTCAAAGTTTCTTTGAACAAGAAATTGAAAGTCATTAATAATTGATCGAATTCACTTGCTTTAAAGATATATTCATTTTGATAATGATTACAGGGAATTGCATTACTTTAAAATTAAATAAATAGAAACGGGTTAGGAATTGTTTCTTTACTTAGCAGCTGTACTTCTCAGGGCAGTAAATAGTCAAATTTTACTACTGAGAAATATCTAATTGACCCACTAAATGACCGACTTACCTTGCACAATCATATTGCCGCATTTCACTATGACGCCCTAGTATTTAGAAGGGGACAGAATGGTGAAGAATAAGAAGTTGGACTACTTTTACTGTGCAGATGAATTGATAACTTTGATAAACTTTTGTGGCTATTATTGCTTTTCTAATAAAAACAAAATAATTCTTATTAATTTGTATACAATAAACCAACCAGACCAGATATATACTATTCCCAATCAAACGCGCCCTATGAATATCGAACTCATGGATACCACTCGTACTTTATTAGGTTTTCCTGTGCAAATAGCTTTCCCAGAATAAAGAGGTTTAACCCCACTAAAAAGTTTACATTGTTACAGATGAACTAAAAACCTACTAGAACTAGCTTTCATCATCTAATACCTAATGTTTGTATAGTACTACAATGTTTATAGTCAAAATTGGGGCAGATTAGGATTGGTGAAAAAATTGGAATTTACACCTGATAATTGAAAATTATCATTTTAGGCTGATTTTGGGAAAAACATTTTTGAGCTCAAAAACTACTAGAACAATCTTTTTTCATATGAGAAATGATGTTTCTTAATGTTTAACATCTATATTTTAAAGATTTTAAAGTCAGACACACTTTATTTCCAAATGCCCGTCTGCTTCTACAACCTTTTTTTAAACTCATAAATAAATAACTAGAACTAAATGTGATTAGAGCAATTACAGAATTTTTAAAATCATTGATGCCTTCCAAATGACTTTTCCTTCCTTGTGCTTGACAGATGTAAAAACTTATCATGTCATTTCGTAATTTATTTTATTTATAACATTATAACAGTAATGCACCTATCAATGTTCAGCCCCAGGGTGGGGGGTGGGGGGTGGGGTTTGGGGCAGGAAACCCCAGGGGAATTTAACATTTTGAATTTCAAATTTTCAAATTCCCCACCAGTGGGCAACTGATGAAAGTCAAATTTCTACCCTTAGTACATATGTTTATTGAATTTTACCGCATTTTCAATATGACGAACATGTCAAACTCCCTACTGTGATGGCATTGAATAATGTCAATAGGACGTTTGCACGATGGCGTCATTGACCTCTACTACCAGACTCCCTTGCACGCTTTCTTTTGTTCAGTTAATTAGCACCAATTGTCTTACTATTCTCATGAGGAAATACAAATTTAAATAAGAAAGAAAATTCGCAAAGCATCTGGGTAGTGGGAGTCAAATGACGCCATCATGAAAATGTCCTATTCCCCTCAGGATTCACCCATACCCCCTACCTTTCCCCTCCATTACCCCCAGGGCCCAGTTGTTCAAAGCTCAATTAGTGCTAATCCTGGGTTAACTCTTAATAAGACCTATAGAGTTAATCCTGGATTAGYGCTAATCCAGCTTTGAACAACCCGGCCCAGGGCTTAACATTGACAGGTGCATAATGTTGACATACAGACCATATTGAACTGGAATAAACTACTTATCCGGTTAGAGATAAAGCTTTACAGCCAAACACCCGTATTGCTAATAAACAACCTAAACTTATCAAACAGAATCACTATTATATACTTGTTCACTAATGTTATGTCAAGTTTTCACTTAATATTTTGTCGTCCTCGTGCTATTTACATTTTTATTCAAATAAGCTGAAGTTTAAAGTCAAGCTTTAAGTTTAAATCTTTGACGTAGACTTAAAATTTGAGTTTTTCAGTTATTCCAAAGTAAACGTATAAAAGCTTTTTACTACACAAATTCTTTACGACAACTTCAACACTTCTTCGTATTTCTTCACGTCTTATCTACCTCGTAGAAAAATATGCACTTATAATCTAATTTGAATATTCATAAAATGTTTATAAATACCTTGGCTGGATTAGTAAAGTCAGAAGACGTCCTATCGTCAAAACCAAGAGCTCAGAACTTGAAATAAAAGTGTTCTGGAATGACCACACACCTGCTGCCATTTTGTGTTCGTATTTCGTCGCGAAGCCGTCGGATAAAAGGTCGATTGCCACTCGACAAAGCTCCGAACTCTCCGAAGGAAGGTCGCCACAAATAGTCCATCAGCTAACCCCACTTGTTTTCCAGTTGGTTGCAACCCATTTATTTWTTTTTTATTATAAAAATGGTAGGAATTTTAAAAAATGGCTTCTAAATACGTTTTCCAAGTCGAAGAATTCAAGATATGGGAACGACTATACATCCCGGGCGGAGTCTTAACCCCATAAAATACTATGAATGTATGAGCTGCRCTCTACGCCCAGGAAAACCAAAGGAAAATCGCTAGCAATTATAAAGGAGCGTGCTTTACAGACTCTTTTAACTTTGCGGCAAAATAACGATTTAGGAAACCGTCATAGTAGAACTTTGATATGCGTATGTGTTTGACTGAACACAGAAAAACACAATTGATGTAATCAGTCCCAACCGTATAGTTTATAAATAAAATATAAGTAATAACCGTGGCTACATGCCTACTTGACTACATTAATATCCTTGGCTAAATGGCTACTATATATGACTACACGTAGCCAGGTAGCCACAACATTCCCCCCCCCCCTCCCCCCATTGATAATGACCATGGATACAATACAATACAATACAATTTTATTTGGCACCTTATACTAATAGTACATGAGTGTTTGAGTTATATATATATATACTATGTATTAGATAATTTTCTTAATTCATTTTCACGTATCAGCATACATTGATGAATGTATGCTGATATGGCTCTTTGTAGAGACGCTGATTTTGAATTGATTAAGAACATAAAACGACTGTCAGCGCTCATATTG